AAAAAAAGCTCCGCACTCACTGGCTGCTGCCAGGTAGGGAGGCGATACTTCCTGCCCCCCACTGCACTGCGCTGCATGGGGGGCTCTCTCATGAGCCCCCAGAAGCCCCAAGAGCTGCTGCAGTAGCCGGTGAGCGTGGGGCTTTTTTCTATTTTTAAAAGAGCTGGAAGCTGGGACTGAGTGGGGCAGCCATGGTGGGGGCTGGAAGAGTGGGCAGGGGATGGGGCTCATGGCAGAGCCCCCCATGCAGTGTGGGGGACAGCAGGGATCACCCCCTTGCCTGGCAGCAGCCTGTGAGTAGGGGCTTTTTTAAAAAGAGCCGGGAGCTGGGGCCAGGTGGGGCAGCCATGGTGGGGCCTGGGACAACAGGCAGGGGTTGGAGGGTGCTCAGGGAGGACTGGGCGAGTAGGCAGGGATTGGAGCCTGGTGGGAGTCCCGCCATGGTCCCCTCCCCTGCCCCCTACTTACCAGTACAGAATCCACGTCCAGCTCCCTGCGGCAGTGACCAGGGACTGCCTGAATCTCTGAAGCTCTCCGAATCTTTTCCGAATTGATTCAGAGAGCTTCGAATCAATTCAGACCTTGTAAGTGGTCTCCTGATTTGATTCAGATTCAGAGATTCGGCCACCATCGGGCTGAATCTCATCCAAATCGAATCAGCACCCGAAGCTTCACACAGTCCTACTAATTAGGTGTCCAGGGTTCCAGGCAGGGTTGCATAGCCAGTATTGAAGCCACCACAACTTCATTGCTACTGGCACCATTTAAAACTAACTCAAGTTTATCTGTACATGTTAATACCCACACCTAATTGTTGTGCAAATATAACCTTAAACTGTTCCTATTATATGCCCGATTTTTACGCTGCCATCCTAAAGCACCACCAAACTACTACCCTGAAATGAGCTTCCATCTACTCAACATTTCTCTTAGATTTATCTGGCGAGAGAAGACATTTTTAAAATAGCATGAGGTGAAGCTGAAAACTTTGTGAGTTATAGGGCTTTCAGAAGTGTTTCTCACTTCTAAAAAAAAGTTTTAGAGAAACTATTGGGGAAATTATAATTCAAACATCTTGCTGTAAAAACCTCAAAACTGTTATATCCTCTAATCCTCAGTGAGTACTAGCATACAATAATATATTTTTCATGTTGAAATTCAAGACTTCTGTTTACTACTTTTGGTCTCCTTATGTGTTTTAATTTCCACAATGACTGGAGCATGTCACTATAACTAATGACTGAGGTATGTCACCAGCTCCACCCAGTCTAAACTAGTGTGTTCCCTCTCTCCCTCATTTCTAGTAAAAAAAAAAATCTTCAGAATTGTTCACTATGAAAAATAATCAACAGGATTGCAAGTTGTCATAGAGCTTTTCTTAGAAAATAAGTGATTTTTAAAAATTATCTTTCTTTAAAAATTGTAGACAACAAATGGCAGGCAGACCAGAATGTGCTGTAGAGTTCATGTAAATGCTGAACCTGGGAATGATCACAACAAATTTCTCCAGAAACATTTTTTCATTGAAATTCACTGATTCAATGAAATTGCAAACCTGTGTCAATTTCAAAGTCCCTCACAGCCTATAGCAGATTAGCAACTGATATGTAGATGGCCCAATTCCCAATTCCCTCCTCTTTCTTGGTACTATACAAAACCACCTCACTGGACAATTAACAGCTTAGAACTCTCACTGGGTGCATCTACATGAGACGTTTACTTTGCAGTTGACTAATTACCTGCACAGTAAATGTCTCAGCATCTACAAGTGCACCCCAATTAGGGAGCATGAAACTAATATACTCTACAGCAAGGTAGTACTTGTCAATACAGAGTTGCAGAGTTTTTTCGTGAGTAGGAGTACATGCATAGATGCTACCCCAGCTAATGGTGCATGCAAGTACTTAAGTGCAGGGGCTGCCTGCTGGCTAGCCTTATACTGAAACACCCTTGTGCCCCATCCAGCCCCTCCACAACAAACTGAGACCAATTGGAGCAGCCCCAGGCTGGCAGGCTGACCCCCCAAACCTCCTACCTGATGCAACCCGACCCAATGTGCTGTGGTCCTGGCGCGCACATAAACTGCATGGCTAGGATCTTCTTGGGAGCAATAAACTCTGCAGCATTAATGGCATATGTGCATTAATGGCATATGTAGATGACCCACTGTTAACTGAATGCTTTAGAGCTCTATACCTTGTAATCAATTAGAACAAAAGAAACAAAGAGAAAGTCTACATGCTGTACCTATTACAGACATCCTTTTTCTGATATTATTAAAATCTAAAAATGCCAATAGCTGGTACGTAACAAGTTGGCCCATTTCTTCCACAGTGATGGTCTCTGGGGTCCGAGACTTAAAGATAAACCCAAAATTTCTGGCAGCAGTTACTAGAGCACCTTCATCTGGCGACTGCACCTGGTAAATCAATTCACCTACAAAAAAGGAAACCAAAACTGTAAATAAGTTAGAAATTATTCATAGCTTGACTTCCAGCAAATGACAAGAGGAACAGTACTGAAGAGCACTTCTTTGCTGAGGGCCCTCTGCTGAATGAAGGGTTTCTGTTTTCAACTTCAGTGATCCTTAGGCAAAGGGAGAAAAAGTCAAATGAAGAATACAGGTCTGTCATGAAACCCTTGAATTCTTTTCTCTGCAACTCAGCACACTGAAGGACAGCATTTGTGTCAGGATATGTTTTATACTGAGTCACTACAACATGCCAATGTTGCACTAACCTAAAAATACTTTCTGATGTTTAATGTTAAATAAAGACTGGGTAGCATATCAGTTAAACATTTGCTCTTTGCCATCCAGGGTCTAAATACTGGTTCCTGAGGGGACTCTGCTGTGGATGGCAAACCACAAAAAGGCTCTAGGTAAAAGGTATGTGTTAAAGGAGGCCTCAGTTGATAGCAGACCTATTTCTGTTCAGTGGCTGTTCAGCTTCACATGAGAACTCACCATCAGGAAAAGATTTTTAGAGTTACAGTCTAAGAAATGGCCTATTCAGATAATCAAGGAGTTCTAGGAGGGTTGTTGGTCACCATTAAGAACTTGGCGCTACCATTTGAATGCAAAAATAACTTTACTCCAAGCAATTTGAAAAGTCCCTGCTGGTTAGAATAAATATTTGGGGAATGCACTTAGCATAGCTGAACTTGCTTCCATACAAGCATCAGCTGGCCTTACATGGCATAAAAAGTTATTGGTATTTGGGGTTGCATAGAATCTGGGCTCTATGAGCCCATAAGATATTGAATATGTGAGTAAGAACAATGCCTGTTTCTCAGATACAGATTCTTTGTTATAGTAAAGTTTTACAATTAGCTCTTTCCAAATTGAACTTAAAGCAACACATTTACTTACTAAGATGCACAGCAGGATTTTGGAAGCCCAGTGCACACATTCTGCCTAAATCAAACTCTAAATAAGCATGAAATGTATCCTTATATGGTTATAAAGGGCCTCTATGAAAAGGTCAAAGATTTGTATGAAATCTAGCCAATAAACAGATAAAATTAGTAAATCACTTAGAATCAAAGTTAAGTCATAGCAATCTAGAGAGCTTATCAGAAGCCTAGCTATGTTACAGACCTAGCTACAATCAGGTACTACAAAAACAGGAAAAAAAAATAACTCCAGGTTTCAGAAACAATCTCCATGTAAACCTTAAATTGGTACAAATAGTACCTCCATTATTCCTGCAGTCCCAAGATTGCAGTACAAAAGCAGAGAAAATTATTAGTTAAATGTAAATGGAAAACTAACTTTGATGCAATGATAAAAAGTGAACAAGTCAACCCTATAACAGGGTCAAGGAATTCAAGAAGTCAATTCTGGAACTTACTATTCTCATTTACCTACTGTTAAAATCTCCAAAAAATATTGATGGAATTACTTCAGATTTACTGGGAGCAAAATCTGAACCAAAGTTTCTAACAGAGTCTTGTCTTAACCTTTAGTGCACATTCCATATATTATATGTGACAATGCATGTAAAATAATTAGATAGAATCAAGATACAAATTTAGACCAGCATCTATAAGAAGTAATTATTTGCACAACAAAAATGTCACCTGTACAAAATGACTGAACTAATTTTGCTGACACAGTAGAAAAATTTCTGGGGTAAAACAATGCAAGAAAAAACACAGCCCAAAGTGAATTTGCCTAAGAGAGCTATGAACACAAAAAAGAGACAGAGAGAGAAAGAGAGAAAGTGAGATGGCTGACATGGAAACTGAAGCTCAACCCTGCATCATTTCCACTCATCAACAGTCACTGAATAAAAATATTGCTTTAAGCCTCAATAATAATAATACTTAGCACATCTAAACTCCTGCTTTAGATCTTCAGTGTCACACAAACAACTATTCTTGCACAATCAAAAAAACAAAGCATTAAAAAAGGAAAATATGTCATTCTAGTAAAATCAAAAAACGTGGCATAGAAACAAGAACACACAGTACTAAGCCTCTTATTAATTAAAAACAACAGAAACAAACTTAAAACAATCCACCTTTTATTACCAAATTCTGTCACCAGCCAGGCAAATTTGAGACCACAGTGCACTTCAAAGTGATTCATAATAAACACAGCCAATAAAGTCATAGGTTTTCTGGGGTTAGACTTACACGAGCCAGTTCAGAGCTATAAGAATTTCATACAAAAATGATCAAAAGTGAAGAACATATTCTGTGCTAAGGCTGTAGTGTTGTTGTAGCCATGGTAGGGCAGGAAACATGCAGGATAAGAAAAGCTTTTTAGTAATAACTTTTATTGTACAAATTCCATAGTTGGGAATGATGTTAGGCCCTGGCAGGTGTGCAATCGAAGGCGCAATGGGATCTGATGTGTGGTCCTCACAATCACACAACTTGCCATAACACATGTGCATGGCAGGAGATGTGATTGTGGAATTGAGACTCGGATCCCATTAAACCGTATTGCGGGTGCAGGGGGACCCTAGGATCCTGATCCTGAGTTCCCCCTGCACCTGCAAATTACAAGCTCTTGCAGTTGGGAGCCCCAGTCAGCTGATGGGGCCTTTGAGTCATGGGGGTGCATCATGGTGCACTGCTGCAGCTGGGAGCCTGGATTCAGCTGACTGAAGTTCCCAACAGTGGGGCACAGTGGAGCCTTTGACTGCAACTGCACCTAGAAGGCTGACAGCCCTGATCTGGTGCTGCTCCCAGCCAAGGGGGTGTATCAGAGTCAAGGGCTCTGATACACCCCTGCAGCTGGGGAGCAGCAGCTGAACCCCTGCAGCTGACTCGAATGGGCCCCTGAAGCTAGGAGTAGCAATTAACTGATTGGCCTTCTCAATCTTGAGGCTACATGGGGAACAAGGGCTCCGATACACTCTGAAGACTGGGAGCCCCAATCAACCTGGCCACACATTCAATTTATAGCATGATAGGAACCAGCCACAAAGTTATTATGCATATTTTTTTTTATCATTATCATACCATTAATTTTAATTTGTTCCATTTAATTAATTATTTTAACTGGTTAATCATGTCCTAAATATAATGTGCTAAGGGCTTAGACAAACATCTGGGCACTAGGTGATCTGAGGACATGCATTCTATGCTCAAAAGCTTGTCTAACACCTTTCTCAATTATATAGTTGGTCATATTCCAAATATTTTAACATAAAAATGACTTAGAAGGAATCCCAGCGACTCCTTTGTTAGTTTAAGCTTTACACATAAAATAGGTTTAAAATGCTTAAATCAATGTTGAATGACACACACGATTAACAAGAAACCTTTGCTAATTCAACAATGACAAACTTAAATTATTTTGGCAATTTTCAGACTACATTAAGTTGAAAATTCAGCATTCTAAGCTATTTAAAATCCTTTCCTTTAGAAATTTTTCTTGCGAGTCTCACAATTTTTCTTGCTCTTCTAATGTAATTATCACACACTTTAAACTTATGTAGAGACTAATCCAACAGGTAGGAGTATGGAAACATTTTTATAAAATCTGAAAATTATTCTTTTTATTTAATGGACAAAGGATTCACTTAATTCATGTGTATCAATCAAGCTATGTCTCTGCTACAGACTTCCTCATGCAGAGAGGAAGGGCTGGAGATGGCAACTGCAGTAGTGCTCCAGCAGAGATTGCAAAGAATGGGGCAGGCCAGGAGGATATTCAGGAGTAACACAATGATTCAGGAAAGAGAAAGCTTATGCGGAACAGCAATGCTTATTCGTCTCTCAAGCCCAAGGACCTGATAGAGAGGGTCAAAGGATTTTTGCTGTATAAGCCTGTGCAGAACACTAGGGCTGTGCAAAGCTTTGGTCCCTGATTTGATTTGGTGTAGACCCTTTAATCTCTGCGAATTGAATCAGAACCCTCTGAATTGATTCGGAGAGATGTGGAAAGATTTGGCGATTCGGACACAGACACAGCTTTAAATGTTTTTTCTACATACCTCAAGGTACCAGGCGGCTCATGAATGCTGCGATGGTGGGGTAGATGGAGCATCCCCACAGGAGTGCAGGGGGCTCCCCAGCACGCTTGGCTGCAGACCTGGAAGTGTAGCAGAAGCACACCTGGTCCACTTCTGGGGCTGCGGGGAGTGCACAGGGGGACCGCCCCCTGTGCCCCCCAGCTCAATGGCTAGTGCCTCCTGGGCCTGGTGGGGCACCCAGGGTCCCCTTGTGGCCAATCGCTGAGCCGGAAGGGTGCAAGGGAGCCCCTGTGCACTCCCCGGTGAACCCGTAAGTGGACTGGAAGTACTTCCAGTCCACTTTTGGGTTCACCACTGAGCACGCAGGGGGCCCCCTCCCATGCTCCTGTGGGACGCTCCATCCACCCCAGCATCGCTGCATTCTCAAGCCACACCTGGTACCTTGAGGTATGTAGAAAAAACATTTAAAGTTGTATCTATGTCCAAATCACTGATTCTCTGAATCAGCATCGAATCTTCAGATTCGGATTCGGCCAAATCAATCAAGGATAGTGATCTGAATCAACTAATCGAATCACCATCCCCGATTCAGGATGAATCCGAATCAAATACAGCCTGTTTCACACACCCCTACAGGATGCTGTTCCTGCAGAGTGCAGTAGGTCCAAGAATATTTGTAGGCTGGAGCATGAGATCATAACCACTTATTCTCCTAATGGAAGATGGAGCACAAGACTTGTCAGGGAGAGCAGTTGCCCAGTAATTTTTCATGACTCCCAGCTGACTGAATAGAAACTAGGCCTAAATTTTAAATATGAAACTTCTTATCAACTGTTTCTAAGCTCCTGTAGAGTTCTTTGCCAGTTCTTTGCTCCCTCCAGCTCCCACACTATAACCAAAGTTTCTGGTAAATATACCTGGGGAGTAGCTTTTAAAAGAAATGGAAATGGCTCAGTAAACAATATGATGAGCAGTGAAGTAGACTAACTGATGCCTTACGGGATGACAGAGTCTGAAAAGGATACAAAGCTTTTCACCTCCAAGTGCTTTAATTCAACTTGAGTGTATCATAACTGAAAGTCCCGTGGGGCTGCTGCTCCCCAGTGGGGCTCACTTGCCCGTCTGCTCCTGGGGCTTATGATCTCCGCCCCGCATGTTCGGGTCCTCCGGCAGGCACCTGGCCTCTTCCCCCGGCCTCCAGGGCTCATGCTCCCTGGCTCCGCAGAGTCCGCCTCTTTGTCGGTGTTCCCCTTTTCTTTCCCTGGCATGGCTTTAGCTGTGTCCCCAGCTGTTTCTTGAAGAGCCCACACTTTGCTGAGGCCACGCCCCCTTCCTCCACTGATTTGCAGGCTCAGGCAGCTCCGGTAGTGCCGATCCTGCCCCAGCATCTCTTCCCAGCTGCCACTCATCGTCGGAGTACTGGGGCGTGTTGGGGGGGGGGGTTCTGGGGTCTGTCAAGGGGGCTTTTACCTTCCCTCTCACAAGTATTTATTTTATTATAATGATTGAGGCATTGGTAGCCTTCCAAATTGCTTTAAAATTGTAAATATATCAATAAAACATTGTGTTCAACTGATACCTATATATATATTTTGGCATTTCATTTTAATCATGGAACAACGTGGATTTGGGGTTTTTAAATCAGAGAATTTGGGATCTTTAATCAGAGAAAACCAGGATCCCTGGGTAGAAGCAAGAAATTCTCCTTTACAGTAAACCACTCCTGGAGAAGCCCTACAGGTTGGAAACAAATTTTAAATTCAAACACCAGTCATTTCAGTGTTAAATACTCAAGTCAAGTCTAGTCAAGTCAGTCCTGAGGCCATGCTGCAACCTTTGGGGCACCTAGATGCTGAAACAATCCTTCTAGGTTAGATGAATTGCTTTGAATCATTGGTGATTCTTCAGGCAGAGTGACCTGACAGCACACATCTCCTATCTAGATATGGATGGCTGTTGGCTCACAGGGATCTCATCCATCTTGTTTTTAGTCCTGCTGGGTGTCCACACACCCTCCTCACCCAGTCTAGCCCAGGAGGGGGCACCAGTTTAGTCACCGATAGCCCAACCGTGGAATCGGCTGTCCTGGTTTATATGGTACCAGATAGCAGATCAAATGAGGCCTGGCCTGACAGGAGTGTTAAATACTAGACAATACTTATTAGACACTTGTAAAAGAAGTGATAATAGATGCTACTTATCAGACATCTAACTCACTGATAGCAGTCTCATTCAGTTTCTCCTGGGAGAGCTGCTGCTCTCCCTGGAGAAACCAGAGTGTACAGATGTTCAGGCATTTTCTATCAGAGTAAAAACAGCTGTTCCAACAACCAGGGTTAAATAACTTCTGGGAGAGTTTCTTCTGGGACAGCAAATGTCTTTATGTGCTTCTTCTTTCAGAAGAGAACATCATCTTCCAGCATTCCCTCCTCCTGCACCTCCCCCCCACTTCAAAGGAGACAGTACATCACTTGCTGGACTCTGCTGCTTCAGCAGGCTGGACTCTGCTGCTTCGGCAGGAAGCAGAACACTCCTTCACAATCCCCACTTTGTGCTGCACAGAAACATAAGCTGACCATGGGCAGTCTGGGTCACCAGTCAGGACTGTCCCTACGCACTGCTTCCGTCTGTTGCCAGGCAGACTAACAGATCCTGCAGAGCACACCAAGATGTGTGCACAGGACCCCATGGGTGCACAATGTTAGCACTGCAAGTTCTCCACTCTTCAGGGCCTCAGCATTCAAATGTCTGTGCATGTGGCTCTGGGTAAGTTTATCTACAAAAAGAGCAAACTGGGAGAATTCTCCCAAATTGTTTTAATGTGTGCATACAGCATTCTAAACATCTCTTCCCAGAATCCTGTCCTCTAGGACTGTGACTGGCCTGTGCAATGATAAGTCATCTCACATTATATGCATATACACTTACATGTATGACCAGCGCTAAAGTACCTGCTACAAAAGGAAAATATCTAAATTTAATGCAACTAACACAAAATGAATATATTACAGGACAAATTAATTAAGTGAAGATTAGCAGATTTTTTCAAGCCTCCATTCCTGGACACTTTCAAAGACAGAAAGAGTTTTTAACTCACATGCCTAACTTTAAACCTAAAGTCCAGTCCTACTACAATTAGGCCCATATACCTTACTGATTAATACTTTTGCTGCCACCATACTATTCACTCTGCTTGTGTGTTATACACTCCATTTCTCACTTTGTCTGTCTTCTCTGTGCCAATGGTACACTCCAGTCATCTACTACATTTTGTTTATAGAGCAGGTAACAATATGGGGTGCATAATAAAAATTCATCCTGAAAAATGGACTGTGTGCCATAAATTGCAACATTTTCCCACACTGGAACCTTAAGGGATTTTTTTTACAAGAAGAAAAAACTATAAATGAAGAGAAATATTCTTTCTATGACACACATCCAACACTATACAACATTTTCTTATTATGGATTTAATGTTTGTAACAGTATGGAAACTAAAATATTGTCAATACTACTTGGCCAGGAAATAGTCGCAGCTTGTTCTCTCACAGGTAGAATATATAGCCCATCCAAAATATGTACTAAATGTTCTGCTGGATCAGTAATAACAGGCATAATTACTGACTGGAAATAAAAACAATTTTATTCAGTACACTAGAAAGATAAAGTTAACATCTCTTTCCTCTCTCTTAAGGGAGGATTTAAGAAAGACAAAAATGTAATGGAGATCTATCTTTCCTTTCATTTTACACCTGCAGTTATGTGCCCTTTCACCCATCCTTGCAAAATTGCCTGAACTAAATTAGAGTCCAGCAGTAAAACAAGCAAGACAGCACAACTGGCATATGCCCCTGCTGTGCTCAGAAGACGTTGTATTCATATGTGAAAGTCAGACAACTTCAAGCATGGAAGAGTATTTTTATGTGAAGAATGTGCGGATGAGCTTTTCAATCACTTATGTGTAAACATAATTAATCTATGCAAGTGTGATTGCTTGACTTGGCTTAGGGATACCTATTTGTGTACTGAATTACAAAGTTTTAAGGGTGCAATGACTGCACACATCACCAAAGCTTGTACTCAACTCACCTTTTGCTTTGAAAATGTGATCCAAACTTGCATTTTTAAATTAAGCAAGTCCTATAGAAATCAAATAGTTAACTGTAATAAAAGAGGTTTTAATTTTTTTCAGTACTTTACCTGCATTTTTTTCTTCAGGCATGACAGTATGGCAGAGGGAAAGCAACCTAAAGAATTCTTGTACTGTTTGATCTCTTAGTTGAATAGATTCAATCAGGCTGTGATCATAAAACTGAAACTTGCTATCTGCTAGTGGATTAAATGAAAAATCCACGGGCACAGTTTTCTGCAAGAGACAAAAAGTCATGCAGTTTTCAAAAAAAGATTTTAAATAATTAATTCTAGCTGCATATTTGAGTATTAAAAGACTGTTCAATAATCAAACAAGCTAACATTTATGTAGTACATTGATATGTGAGAAACTTGCCCTTTTAATTAAGGTTCCTTTCTACTGTGCTAGTTTGATGGGGAAAAATTGTTAAAAAAACATGGATTGGAAACATTTGTCATTTTCATCAGTAGAGGTTGGGACAGTTTATTTTCAGGCTCTACAGGAACAGGAAAACTTATCATCATGCAATATGCTGGCTGCAGTGCTGCATTTTACTTGATAGATTCAAAACTGATCAAGGGTTTGCTATTCTGTTGCCTTGTAAAGAGTAAATAAATCCTAATAATACTGACAGCCTAATTATTTCTTCTTTTAGCTGAAGAAGTTCAGAAGTATGCTTCCTTTTAGGTTTCCTTTCCACTTTTTGTTTATTTAATAGCAATTTTTTTTCTTTTATGGAAATAAGTGACATCAAAAGACCATGCAATTTAGAATCTGTCAAGATCTTAGGGCAGCTCAAAAGTAATGAGGTGAAAAACTGGCCAGTTGTTTGGTGTGTTTGCAGTAGGATTATTTCCTGCATATTCAGTTAACAGTAGCAAAGGAGCTATTCCTACAATTCATACTAGTTACTAGATTTCATCATTCTGTTTTAACAATTAATTTCTACAAAGTATTTGAGGTTTTGGAATGATCTTTTATAAATCTATCCCAATTAAAATGTGGGTTTCTTCACTTCATATTTTCAATAGTTCCTGAATAATTATATAATTACAGCAAACGTAATTATGCCACATTAATATTATTTTCCTTTTAATGTCTCTTGCACATACACATGTACTAGAGGTACACTGATATATTGATGGCATATTGAATTGTCAACGATAAAAGGAAAATTAACATTATCAGGTATCCACTTTTATTGGCTGGTGTAGCTGATATAATGTCATTGATAAATGCAACATGCATATGCACAGCTGCAGCATGGGGAGGACACATTGAGGCCCCCATAGTGAGGGAGAGAGTGGGGCAGGGGCAGGCGCTGCCCACCCAGGGTGGTGAATATGACCCAAGGAGTGAGACAGAGCTGCGGGTGGCTTGCCTGATGGGCGTGGGAGGGGGTGAAGGGAGGCAGCTCACTGCCACTGCACGCACCCCTGGGGGGCATGGGAGACGTGTGTCCCCTGGATTTGTGCATGAGGTGAGGGCAAGCTGCCCACTGTGGGTTTGAGACCAGGAGCTGCCTGGCAGGGGGGCTGGGCCTGGGCTGTGCTCGGGGAGGGTGGGGGCAGGGTGGGTGGTGCTGGGAGGGGTGGCTATGGGGAGGGCTATAGACACCCCAAAATTCCCCATAGCCACCCCTCCCAGAGCTGCTGCTGTCCACCCTGAACACAGCCCCAGCTCAGCCCCCACCAGGAAAAGCCTGGCACCCACAGAAAAAACAACTATAAAAGAAGATGTTAAGGACTTGTCTGCACTTGGAAATGTATTGAAATAGGTATTCTAGAGTAAAAGGGTGCCCGTATACATGACCAGAGGCTGCTTGGATGTGCTGTAATTATAGCACATTGGAGCAAAATTGATTAATCGAGTCTGCTAGAGTGTGCTAATTTGCGCATATCAACCAGCCTTAGCGTCTCACATATCAGCATCCAGGAAGAGCACACACCAACTGCTGCAGCTTCCTGAGCCTGACAAAGGGTTTTTGAACCCGAAAGCTTGCTTAGTAACTATTCTCCAACCATTTGGTTTGGTCTAATAAAAGATATCAAATTCACCCAAGGAACCTTGTCTGCCTATATCCTTAGACCAACACGGCTACAACCGAAACCCCTGCATATCAGCATCCCGGCATTTCAAAATGGCAGCAGTTGGGCTTTAACTAAAATTCGTTTGATGAGCATTAACTAAAAGTGCCCACACTGCCATTTTAAAGCACAGGGATGCTGATACACAAGATGCTGTGGGCACATTAATTAGAGTGACTCTCAGAGCCAGGCTTATTAAAGTGTCCCTGCCACCCTTGGAGCAGTGTAAAAATATCCAAAGTGTGTATATAGGGGCTTATATTGAACTAACTACACTGAAATAATTATTACAAATGTAGACAAGCCCTGAGAAGAAAAAGATTCGTATTTTCAGTCTTGTCCATTTTTTATTTAGAGTTATTCTAAAGAATATTTAAAATGGAATAGAAAATTAATGACAACTTCTCCTATTGGTGATAGGATTTTAAAAATGAAATAAAAATAAACTAGAGTACATCATAAGGTTTCATAATTTGGTCATATCTATACCTCATTAATTTCTGTTTTCCGGCCCAGCTCATCATATACATCACCTATAAAAAAAAAAAAAATGAATTCATTTTCAATTCTACATTTTTACAAAATAAATGTTTTTGATTTTTAAGCTACGGATGTAGACTAAAAAGAGGAAGCATTCATTTCAACAACAAATAAAGAACAGAAAATACTAAAAAAGATTTCAGAGGTCTACTTAAATAGTGGAGAAACTACATCATTTTTGTGGGCTGGTAGTGGCATAAATAGCAAATTCCACAGGTATTTCCTGGATGTGCTACAGCAGCCCAGCCCCTTGATGCTGGTAGGCAGAGAGGATCCAGGCAAGGGGAGGAGAGAAGAGGATGTGACCATCACCTCGTCTGCTGACTGCCCTTCATGTGGCCCCAGTGCTGACTGGCAGACAAGCCCTGGTTGGGGGAGGAGAGACGAAGGGGCAGCTGCCATCTTGCCTGCTGCTCTTCATGCCTCCCTGCCAGCCGGCACCTCCTCCCCACCCCAGGCAGGCTGAAAGTCTGGGCTGCGGCAGCAGTGAGGACTACTGCCTCCCACTGGGAAGCCAACATTTTATATTAAGGTTTTTTTCAAAGTTTATATTGCATACAACCCTGGATTTCACAGTTTCCATGAAATCCATGGAACTGAGTAGACCCTTATAGTCAACATTTTCATAAATTAAATTGTTTCATTTTAAGTCTGTAATGCCACTGTATTTTTTTCTCTCCAGCTATGGCACATAATCTTGTGCCAAAGCAAAATTCTGCAAACCCAGATGTATGTAAATAACTTTATCTGCACGACTAAAGCCATTTGTTACATAGTTGCAGAATTGAGTAATAAAGTTTTATGTAGAGTTCTTTAGGTATAATTGAGGGTCAATAATATTCACTTGCTCCAAAACTAATCTTTGTATTATATTATCACCTAACATTCCCTAGGATTTACTAAATAGTATGCCTAGAATAAAGCAAATAGTAGTTATTTAATCATTGTAAGGCATTATGTTAGACAGCCTGTAAGTTTTTAAAAAATGACCTGGTATAAAAAGAACTGGTCCTTTTATACCATGTAATATACAAGTTTACAAGTCTAAAACTCATGTAATACATGTATCATATTTTGCCTCAATTTATTAAATGTCTTTTAACTCCATATTTAGACAGCACAGTACAATAACACATTCACCTCTGAAGATCTGGTTTCAAATCCTGAATTATAGTATACATGAAAAGAAGTTAGGTAGTTTCAGGGTGGACTATGGGATATAAGTCAAAATTAAAGTGTTGCATGACAGGCACTTGGAGATCTGTGGCAGATCACAATTTTATTAGTAAAGATATGGGAAAACTGGCTCAGCATCTCCCTTGTGCTAATCAATCAATCAATCAATCACTTTCATGACATCAAGCTACTTTAAAACAATTACATTTAAAAAGACTTTTCAGCCTGTGAAATGAAGGTAATAAATATTCATTAAAAAATGATTCAGTTCTTCAGAAGGGTGCCATAAATCATTGGTGACATGTGAACTGAATTTATATACATTTATTTTAATTTTTTATGTATTATATTTCTTCTCTTAGTTTTAAGATAGCTAGTTTTGTTATCTCTATTCTTCAACCCAGTCATAAATCCTTAATTTAAAAAGATGAAAAGACACCATTATACCCATATTTGCATTATTTTTAGAGGCAAACAATAGACCTTCTCTCTCTCTCTCTCTCTCTCTCTAACAAAGACTGGTCCAAAATTAACTGAAGAGAACAGGAATTTATGTTCTTTTCACAAAACTCTACATGAAGTTTATAAAAAAAATTCTAGGTCATTTTTAAATGAGCTAAACTCAAAATCAGAATCTGAAATAAATTACATTGGCAAAAGACTAGTAAGTAATAACTTACCATATGTTTTCCCATTAATAGAGCATTTGTTAAAAGTCATTATGTTCTGAGTGAGCGTCCCAGTTTTATCTGAGAAAACATATTCAATTTGTCCCAGTTCTTCATTAAGTGTTGTAGTTCGAACCTCAGCAGGGGTATCATTTTTGGCATAATACATTTTACGATCCCAGTTTATGAAGTAGCTATGCCCAAGCCGAATAACTTCCACACTTTTAAAACAGACACACAAAAACACTCTTTAGAATTTAAAGTCTTTCAAGTGAAAATCAATCATACTCAGAACTTAAATAAAATTAGTTTTCAGATTTCAGTGGATAAGACTCTGTGCAGATTATACATAATATCATGCTCCAAATAATCTCAAACTTCAAATCATCTGTGGAAAGAAAGTGTGTGATAAGAATACTGCTTTATTTAAAGTTTACATAAACTTTATAGTGTTTTGTCATGTTACAAAGCAACTTGATATGCTGTAATCAAATGAGAACAGAATAGAAACTTGTACTTCCAATATGTCAAGTCTTTTCAGGTTACTACTTTTGTATAGTGTTTTCTTGTCTACTGCTGTGCTCTGCTAGATGAAGTTCTACACCTTTTCAAATGTTCACAGTTTCCCTCTTCTGTATGGACAAATAAGTTATTCCTTTAGCATTCAAGTATAGGTCTGATTTTTTTTTTTAATAGATCTTATAATCTTTACCTCAAAAACATTTAGACATGGTTAGCTAACAACTGTGCTTGTCATTATATAGGTAACATACTATTAGAGTTATGCCATGAATCTTTGGTGTGCACTATCACCAATAATATGACCTACTACATGCCCTTAAAAGAGATTATGCACTTTGGTTCAATCCTAAAATACCTGGGCACAGAAGATGGCACACAGCTCAGAAGAAGGCAGGGGTGGCTCTAAATCATCTTTTTACCTCCCCTGATCCTAAACTGGTCAAAACTGGTATTCACTGGATGTTAGCCTCCTCTAAAGGTTGCACTGGCTTATAAAGGTGTCTTGTATCCTCTAAACTCCAAAACATGAACTTTTTATGTATTAAACCATAGAAAAGCATTCACAAAAAAACACTTGTTTTGATCACAGACAAAAATATTCTTTTGTAACCCAGCTGAAAAAGCCAACTTGGATGAGCTGCCCGCATGACCAGTATCACCGCAAGTAGTACTTACTACTGGTCATAAATATTCATAAACATTCTGACAAAGCTCACTGACGAGAACAGGAAGGTTTAAACGGTTAAGGCTCAAAATGTACCTGGATGGTGAACAATCAGAAAATGCATGCACTGTACTCCTCCCTCCTGGATAATAGTAATTTATTTGGGGTGATTTTAAAGTGTACATTTTAATTTCATGTACAATTGTAGCTCTTAGATCTTTAAAAAGAGCTCTGCGTTACAAGCCTTTTCACTTAAGCAGTT